CATACTCTCAGCTTTCTTTTATTACTAGTTGATTTTTGTCCTACTGACCTTTCATACTGTCATCACTGTTTCAATTGAAGTTTACAATTTCCCTCATTTCCTGTTTCTATATTGTAATTTGACCAAAAAATGGGCGACTGACGGCCATGTTAGCTTTATTTATCATTGACCATTTCTCGGGCATTCCATGTTGGATTTTGTTCATAGTTGCTACAAAAGCTATACAACATTTTATCCTCAACTAAGTTATTGACAATGACTTGGGGGGGGGGGGGTATGCTTTGTGTATTATTTTTTTATAATTGCAAATTATTTGAATTCGGAATATATAAATCTGGGTCCCATCGTTCCTTGAATATGTGTTAATTAATTTCATTTTGTCGTAGCATTAATTTTGCTAACAACTTTGACTTGTGTTTGTGTTTTTACATCCATACTATTGACTAGTCTGATGATTCTTCTAATTTTTTGCAGGTAAATACTGTTACTTCCCCATCAAAGAGGAAATAGAACCCGTTTTTACCCAATAAAGGGAATATTATTTTGCCCACTGAAGAGAATATCCTATTTTTTCTGCTGTTTGGCTGAGGGAGACCAACATTTGATGGATTACAATCATGTTTATTTCAAGAGTAGAGTGTCAGACTCGCTCTTATAAGTGGAATATATTGGGAGTTACAGTATAGCATATATCCCATTATAAAACAATAGCTACATTATAAAGTTCAAAGTGTAGCCTATTGAGTGACATACGAGATATCAATTACACCCTATATTAAGCAAATGCAGATTGAAAACACATTTTCACCAATTTATCTACGAATATATGTATATATTAAACTGCATCAAAACTATGATTTATAAAATAAACAAGTTTGAAAAAGTTTGGAGAAAAAAATACTTGATTTACCCAGGGCACAATATGACGGACACAATACGATGTGGGCAATATTTTATCCATTCATTCACTTTTGCAAAAAGGAAGAAAGTTAGTGATATGGCATGTCATACTATTGTAATTATTGTTACTGGATACGTTATGCAAGTGTGGACATATTTCTGAATTTCACCTTTTCACAATATTAGACGATCCGTGTCGAATGACAGATGCAGAAACACCCCGGTAATGCACATCTAATCATTGAACACGCACTTTGGTCAGATATCACAGAGACGTATCTATATCGTCTAGTAGTCAGTTGGATCGCGTATGGCGAATGTTGATAGGAACGCTGATTGATTCCGGCACTGATGTAAATATGTTTGCGAAACGTCGCAGATCAATTGCAGTAAGTGTCCGTTCCAAGTATAGCAATATATTATTATAGATACGTAACGTAACTGAATTTATAAACGTTCGTCAAATGTTATGAAAAAAAACGACGACCACTTAATGGATCATGGTGAAAAACTATAAGATTAAGGGATAACAACTCTACAATGTCACCGATAGTTCATGGATAAATGATATGACTTCACTGAGATGAATTAACACACTGTCTAGGTATGTCAATTATGTCAAGTGCACTTAGCGACGTATAACTTGAGAGTTACGACAGCAAAGAATGGCTTTCAACCACCACACGCTGCTTTTACAACATACATAACTTCCTTGTATTATAAAGTTAAAAATAGGGATGGCATTTTTAAAGTGCACATTTTGCATGACGAGCAATTAACGACATTTAACGCATGTCATAGTATATGCTGTATCAGTATCTGCAAAATTGAATTTTTTTCCTTATAAACTGATGAAGGGATCAACTGCGTCTGTGTTAACTATTGATTAAAAACTAAATAAACTAGCTTGGATATTTTAAATAGTGTTATGTTTTGGTAGCAAATAATCAAAAAGAAACTACTGAAAATACATATTTTATTAAATATCAACATAGAAACAAAGTACGCGCGCCTTCAAGGACAACTGCTTAACTTGAACCGACACGTTCAATCATTAGTCTAAACGTTTGTCGCCGGGTTTTTAGTATTCCCAATAAAAAACAAGCAATTCTCCATGCGCACATATTATGTACATCAACTGAATGATTCATACAATGACCCATTGGTCAATTTAATTTATACCGATAGTGGTGTACCAAGTTATTTATTTTCAATGACGAAGGCTGACTGATGAAAATACGTTTGCGCTGTAATATCACTTGCATACATATATTCATTATACTGAAAAGTTCACGTGCCAACTGAAGAGACCTTAGACGCCTGCTTGCCGAGATCTCGAAATTCACGAGACTTTTCGAATGGTGTTCCTTTTTGCCTCGTCATCGCGTCCACTATTTCAAATACCATGGTTACAGAGATCAAGGAGAACAGTGGATAGAATAGCGAGAGAAAATGGAGCACTATTGGTGGGACAAAACAAATCCCGCTGTTTTCTCGCTCTCAACCAGATCTCGGCGGCCGTTTGCATCTAAGTCCTATTTCATTAATTATGCCTGTGTTACCTAACCACTTATATATGCCAACATAGACAAATCAATGTTCAATATGAATGTTATAACCTGAAAAAGGTATTGTATGGGGACTGTTTAAAATTCAATAAATCTAAAAATGAGTTGGTTATTGAAGAATACAGAACCCGTCAACACCATAAATATCCGCAATGAGAATGACATCTTGTATTAGGACTAGCCTTAACAATCAACAAATGGTTTGGTGAATATAATGAGTTTGTGGGTAAATATGATACAGAAGATATAAGATGGCATCCATGTCATTCGTCTGGTGTAAACATCGGGTTTCTTACAGAAACTATTTGATTATGACTCAGAATTATATATGGTATGCTACATGTGGAGAAAAATGTGCTCATTGTTTTCGAAACAGCCGACATTACGTGTTGGATGTAAATCTCTGGGTTGGCTTCAAAGATGTGCGCACTCTTTTCGAAACAGCCGACATTACGTCTTGAATGTAAATCTCGGGGCTGGCTTCAAAAATGTGCGCACTCTTTTCGAAACAGCCGACATTACGTCTTAGATGTAAATCTCGGGGTTGGGTTCATGTATAATTCATTGACTAATTGACCATGTATTGTCGCTTGTAGTTGTTATGTGTCCATAAATTTGTATTTCCTTATGTAACGTGTGTTAATTTAAAATGATGTGTGACTAAGTCTGTTATCGCCATTTCACTGTCTTTTTGTAATTAATACTATCTCACCATTACGAGAAATAAAAAAACACACACAGCTTATGCAACTTCAAACTCGATGGTACATTACACGAAAGAAATGTGTTATTTTATTGAGATACGCTGATACACGTTTCCATAAATGAAAATAAAATTTCATGACTAATTTCATTTGTCGGAATAAGCACTAAATCTTTATTATGATGTTGCTAATCAATGATATTTTATTCGGAATACAACCCGAGTCGTTAATCAACTACTACACAGTCAAACTGATCGAATGGCTATCATCGTATAACATTGTATAATCCTATTAGTAGCGTCTTCGTCGATCTGTGTAATTACTTAAAACGATCCGTTGCGCCACATTGTAATTGTAATGTTATTAGCTAGATACCATATGACCTCCGACTGTGTTTATCTCAGTTCACACTCCTTCAGATATACATAATGTATTGCATTTCGACACGATGTTTCATTTGCATATTATAATGGATATTTTATTAGAAGCTGTATTATTAATCTAATAGCCATTAGAAAATATTAATTTTTTAATTTCAGTGTTTTTGGGTGGGGAAGGGGTTGGCACAGAGCGTCATTTATTGAGATGTATTCTCATTCAGTAACATTCATTTATTCACTCGTTCGTTTGTTCGTATTCGTATTCTGCATGATAGACACTGAATCAATGTACGTCAGATAGTTAATAATGCGTTTACTGTCACTCCATCTTATTTGTTATTATCAAAATTGTTTATTTATTTGAGTCGATGACAACTGATTTTCAGAGCAATTTTTTCAACGTGGACGTTAGCAAAATATATATTAAACCACCAAAAACATCTATGGTTCAAACTGATAATTCGCGCCAAACTTGTAATCCCTGACATGTATATGCAACTTTCATAGCATCTGATCCCCCGGCTATAGACCATAGACTAACAGCAAGTACTGCCGTCGTAACTCCTACTTTTTGCCTCGTCTTTCTTTGAAGGTGGACAGTTTTCGTTCAGCATTTACTAGGAAAGTGCTTTTTCTTTATTTCAAACAAGACCTATTTACTAGTATCTTCATTCTCAACGATGCCTATTTACTAGAAGAAGACCTTTTTTTTCAGAAATAGGTTGTTCTCAGATGACCCAAGTGGAGAATACAACCCCCTTTTTTTAAAAAGAAAAATTTTAAGCAGCAACATCCTGGATTTGAAACAACCATTTCCAGATCGATGGGTTGTGTTGATGCATGGTAACTCTACTGAATGAGTTGTAAGCTCTGTTTATTTACAACCATATTGCTTTTATTGAACTGCATATAACGCGTAGTGTCTGTGATTACCCACAATCCCATGTTAATTTTACCAACCATAATGGTGGTACTTTTATTTTAAATTACAGAACATATTGTTTTTGTGAAGCGTAGTGTCGTGTGTAGGCACACGGGAAGGCTAATGTCATATTGGTGTCAGTCTGTTGCATACAAATTAACAACTTTCTGCATGTTTTGTTGGATTTCTAACAGCTTTTTGCTCAAATGGGTTAAAACTTGGTAAATGCACAGTGTAGTTTAATATTATACTACTCATTAAGTAATAATGTACATATGTTAATTACTTAATTGGCATACTAATTATTACTTTCAACTGTTTGTAGATGAATAAACATAGACTAGAATTTGGAATCAATCTGCATAAGTTAATTACCTAACAATATTCCATCATGCGTATTTAATATCCTAACAACTGTTTGCTTTAATCGATTAAAATTTTATACATGCTTGCTGTTTTTGTAATTGAATGACGAATACTATTCTGTGATTATTCTACTATTCTGCATACGATGAGATTATCTACTTTGCATACTAATTAACTATATTCAGCATGTTTTGTTGATATGGTTCAGAATCTGTTCATAAACTATGGAATTGAACAGCATATGTTAATTAAAATTAAAGAAATCACTGGATGAAAATGGATGAAACAATGAAATATACATGTCAGCTGAAATCTGCATGGTGATGAAGGGGATTACTTTTTATTGCTGATTGCATTTCCTAAAGATTAGCACCTCTATAAATTGCTTTTCACTAGACTTGGAGCTAAAATTTGAAATTCTGAACACATATTGCAAAACGCAGATTTGAAAAACAAATACGAGACTCACAGGATCAAATTTCTAATAAAAAGGTAAATCAATGTCTTGAGTATAAACCATAAAAATTATAGGTAATTTGTAGTACCATGTGCGCGCTATGAAGAAAGATCAACCAAGGATAATACGCACAATAAAATGTTAATAATATCAACCTGTGACATTCAATGGTGCAATTCAACAAGCAATACAGAAGGACGGATGGTTCTTGGGGTGCTGGCAGAGAATTGAGACGGAACCACAATTTTGGTAGCACAAATGATTGTTTACAACAAGCAATGCATTCACATAGCGTTAAAATTTATTGGCCCACTGTGAATGCTTAGTCAGCTTATTTGATTTTTTCAAAAGTGAAAATCCCCAAACACACACACACACACTCACCTGTTGTACATGAGGACGTCTGGAACCCATATTTTATCAGGCGGTATGCGGATATCTTTTACGTTTCCATAATCTGCTGGATCCCACGTCATGTACGCATCCTTCCAGATCTGTAATAGAAACAGTTAGAACATTACTACGCAATGACGTGAAGCAAGGTGGCATACGCGACGTGGCGCGGCGTTAGGCGATTCGCGTTGCGTGATATGACGTGTCGTGACGTGTAAATGTACGAGTACCATGCGATGAAAGTAAATATATTCACATGTACAAAAGCATGAATGCACATTATTAACAGGTGTATACGAAAATGTAACGTCAATCGAATGTTATTGATACCAATCAATGTTTCTCATTGCAGTTTACATGATATGATTACATGAAATGCAGGAGTTCATTAATAGTCTGATTGATTATTGGCCGTGTTATTCGAGATCGCACAATGCCGGCCACGTTTGACATAATTTATATTATTCACCCTGATCTACATCGCGGAAAAAGAAAAGAACCATATGGTATATCGCTTGATAAAGTGTTATTAGTTTCCCACACTGATCGCTGATGCGCGTGATCGAGATGGACGATCGTTCCACTTGGGACTGTATGCTCGACGTGTTTCACGTCTGTATAGTTTCATTTATCAAGTGCAGGTTATTTTAAGGACTAGACACAGTCGTATGGAACAGGTGATCAGACAAATGGATATCATCAATCATCCCTGTCATCAAACGTGATTCGCATTTATGGATTTCCTGGTCGCAGTTTGAATTCATCGGTCATTCTGGATAATAATGGATAATAGTTTTTTAGTGCATATTTTATTTCCGTTTTTTCTATGAGGGGTACAATACCGTAAAAACAACAACAACAACAACATATTGTTATATATTTTATCAATGCGTTATTTTTATTATTCAAGTTGTATGTGAATGCATGTCAATGAGTTTCTACGAATGAGCGATGTTTTTTTCTAATCTGCGTAGCATTTCAATTTAACACGTCCGCTATATATTATACATCAATCTCGTCTAACTGCCAGATATGGACTCGAGTGTAAATTGTTTGTAATGCCGGAGAAAGGAATCTACGACGCCGACCTTGAAAAAGTCTGTACTGTATCGAAGATAAAACCGGACTGTTGTGACTTGTCTCGATGAACGATATATACACAGAGCCTAGCTGGTAAAACAATTAAAAGCGCTACGAATTCTTGATACTTAAACCTGGGTAAAATGTTCCATCAAATCAGAGATAAAAAGCAAATTAAGAAGAAGTTGTACTCAATTTTTTGACCATGATAATGATGGCCAACGGCCATTTTGGCCAAAATGCATACAAATGAGTAACGCATTTCAACAACTAGTTTCCGTGCCCACCAGACTCTTCTGGGATATAAAGTCCGGCTTAAAAACCTTCCCCCAAACCAACTATAGATACATATTTTAACGAAATTCTTGTACTTTTGAAGAATTCGTTATGTTCTTTCATCTTTCTGCATGAATTGTTTTAATGCGAAATGTGGAACATGCCACTATTTTGCTCTCTTGTGATGAACGTGCGTAGGAGTGCAATTTACTTCTTTCTTTTCAAAAGAAAGACGAGGGACTCGAATCAATTTCCACACTAGACACTCCACCAACTGAGCAGGATGTCGATGAGTAAATTCAACAAGACAATAGTGCTTCGTTATTACAAATGCATTATAATATCAGATGCGCCGTGTACATCCGGGTTGGTATGGTCACCTCTAATTGTTCTTCTGCACGAAAAGAGTTACGTAACACACGCAGCAACCATGGTAGGCTATGTAGACAATTCACCAAAATAGTGAAATCGACTATAGAATCTAGTGAAACTCGCAAAATCCGTGTTATAACACAATTAACCAGCGGGTTATTTGAAAGGAGGAGTCATACTCACAACAATGGTACGAGGCAAAGATGAGGACGCATGCAAAAGAATCTATAAAAAAACATTATGACGGAAAATATAGGCAGATTCAACATGCAGTATCGAATACCATATTTAAACAACACCCCTTTATTGTCGCTTTATAATTTTTGTAGATAAGGACAGACTGACAGGCATTTATTGCGATTAACGCTGGATAGAGTAAACTAGCTTTATACATGCATATTTAAATCTTTTAATCAAATTTATAGAAGAAATTGGCGGTAGTTTAATCGTAAGGGCGTCACTTCGTAGTTCGCGGGGCGTGACGTGATGTGTTATGATATGATATGAGCTAACGTTTTGAAGCGTCAGTGCGTAAAGTGTTGCGGCGGGGTGTGACGATGTGATGTGACTGACGTAATAGGATGTGCAGTGATGTGACGCTACATTTGCGGTATGGCGCGACGTGATTCGGCGCGATGATTTCATTGTTTTGTAAAGATCAATTATTTCAATAAGTTGTGTATTTTTCTCCGTTTGTGATGGCTGCCCATAAAAAATAACTAGGACACTGAGAACAAATCGTTTTATTTATTACATTACCACTTGAACGCCAGCTGACTGTGACTTGTTTTTCCCGGCTGAGCACTATAAATATACTTGTTGAACATTGAAGAGGAAAATACTCATTATTTAAATTAATAAATTATACAATCACGGGTTTTATCAATTTGATTAAAATTAGATGTATTGTACGGCGTGTATTTTATTTTATATATTTATTTCATTTTTACCATTTTTTAAAATTATTTTATTGTTTTTTGTTACGTGCTTCTGATCTGGTGTATTTTTAACTATCGCCACATACATCTGAACGATGATTTCAACAAGATCCTCTGACTGGTTTAGTCAACGAATCATAGACCTCATTCTATAGCGCACCTGATGACGTCAGAGTCAGGTCATAAACAGACTCAAATAAAATGGCGGATTATACCGATGTTAGCGATGGAAACGATCCGGAAAAAAACTGGCTTTTCGGTTTATCATTGTCAAATACAACTAAAATCATCTATGATTTTAATGATTATACTGTCTGTGGCTTAAATGGTTCCAGTTTAGGTCGTTATTTTGCGTGGTTATTCCGGGTGATGTTTTGTCGATGATCGGGTCAAAATCGGCATTGAAGCCGTAGCTGTAAATATTCATCAAATTGTGTCCACATAATGTACAATAACGCTTTATTAAAGTAACTGAGCTGACATAAAATATTCTTTCTTATTTGGAACACATTGTAATTCATCAGAAAATATTTTTTTTTGCTCAAATATTCAGGGATTTAAATGTTGCATTTTTTACAATAGCTGTAAAATACAGAGCAATGACGATCTTGATGGTCTGGTCATGTTTTGTGCAACTTACAAGAAAATATGGTCAAGAACACGTCAGAAAAATGAAAAATTAAATAAGTTGTTCGTCGCAGTAGAGGACATGGATTGTAGCCTCCAAAGGTAATATAACAATTTTCCCGAATATTTAACCACCTTTTCCGGGCATTTTCCCTGGTCAACCTTTGATTGAAATGATTGTATTCAAAATAAAAACCTACGCCCAAAAGGGTCTTGTAACGTTTCTAAGTCAATATTACCTACAATACTTGCTGTCAGGGCTTGCAGAAGTTACGTCGCCCCGGTAATACTGACCTAGTGCCCTCGCCACGCAACATAATCTTTTTTTCTTGTACATTGTAATTGTTTGTTAATTATTTTCTCCAATGAATACGCCATCAGCCAATATAAAAGGCTAGCTGTGATTGGCTGTGGCTTAAACGAGTTTGTTAAAGATTTATATGGGCGTTGGGTCAGATCCTTGTGGACTTTCGCGATTACCAGAACTGCCAGCAAATAAATACTAGTAATAAATTAAAAGAAAACAAAGTAAAAAAAAATATATAATAAACATAAATAATCAACGCAAATTAAAAAAGAAAAGCCCAAACTAGG